TTCTTTCTTTCTTTCTTTCTTTCTTTCTTTCTTTCTTTCTTTCTTTCCTTCCTTCCTTCCTTCCTTCCTTCCTTCTCTCTCTCTCTCTCTCTTTCTTTCTCTCTCCCTCCCTCTCTTTCTTTCCATTCTTTCTTTCCCTTCCTTGTTTTTTTTCTTCTTTTTATGATGATGGTGTTGCTTGTGGCGGCAGTGGTGGAGAAATGACCCAAGCCCAGTAAAGGGATGCCGACATCAATAGGCGGGAGGGTCAGAATGAGAGAAAGCGAAGCTCACTTTGAACGGTTTTCTAAAAAGTGTGTTTTTCTCTACTTTTTCTCAGTTGCCTCGGTTGAAAGAAATCCGAGCTGCGCGCCGAGGGGGTCCAATCGGTGCCTTGCTCTTTAGAAGCACTGCCGTTTATAAAATGAAATGAGATAACTGACTGCGGGTTTCTCTCCCTCTGGAGAATGAGACGCTCCCAAAACCTTGTTCCTCTCTCTCTCTCTCTCTCTCTCTCTCTCTCTCTCTCTCTTCTTGGAGCATCCTGCCATCACCTCCTCGATCCTTCCTATTGATGTAGAGAATCTCTTACATACGCCCAATATACAGTACAAGGCAACGGTTTGCAGGCCACTTGCTTTGGAGCAGATTCAGTGGCTGCTTGGCTGAAGACTGGGAAGAAGGTCCTCTTCAGGAGTCCTTGTCCCAAAGCCATCAGGCGTGGAAAGTGTTCTCCCAAAGCTCACAGTCAAAGCAGGCTTTCCCTGAGGAGTATGACAAGACCTTAACTTGTGGGAAAAAGACCCTTTGTTGGTAGTTAATTCAGCTACTTAGTTCCAGGACAAAGCTCTATTTTAATTATCCATCTCATGGTGAAGCTGATGTGATTCAATAAACACGAACCAGTTGGATGCTTATGTGGTTGTCCTTAAATAAGGAAGCCTTAGCTTCCTCATTCCCGACTATTCTTTTTGTGTTTGGAAAGGTCTATGACTTTATCGCTTGGTTCTGCTGAGAGACAAAGCCTTAACACACATACCCCCAAAAGGCATTTCTTGACCATGTTTTCCTCATTCCAGGTCATTGGCTATGAATCCAATCCAGAGACCCGAGATGTACATCATTGGAGCCCAACCAGTGTGTAGCCAACTACCAGGGCTGTCCCCAGGCCAGAGAAAGTTGTGCCAACTGTACCAGGAGCACATGATGTACATTGGTGAGGGGGCTAAGAACGCCATCAAAGAGTGCCAATTCCAATTCAGGCAGAGGCGATGGAACTGCAGCACAGTGGACAACACATCTGTCTTTGGCAGAGTTATGAGCATTGGTAAGTGAAGGAAAAAGTGAGGGGGCAAAAGACATTGGTGGCCATTCAGATGTTCATGGACGGTGTGCCCAAAGGCCTCGGGGATGGAATGGCTGGAAGGCACAGAGAACAAAGCTGGAAGGATAAAAACTGTAAGGACAAAAAGGGTCTGGTTGAAAAGTATTTTAGAGGGAAGTAGCAAAGGTATATGGAAAGCGGCAGATACTTAACCATGTTGAGAAGAGACTCTCAGAAAAATAAATTGTACACAGATGAGAAGTGGATTGCTAGTATTATGAATGTTGCATAAGAGCATGGAGATTCAAAAGTCAAGTGAAACCAGTTGGAATGAAAGTGGTTTCTGGAGCAGGGAATAGGGAAATAGACCAAGTGTGGGGGAAAAAATAGTAGAGCAATTTGGGTGGCATTGCTGTAAAAATAGAACAGCTGTCAAGACAGAGGTAGAATAAATAGTGTAGAAACAGAAAACCTGCCTAAGAGTAAGAGACTAAACTTTCATGCAGAGCTTGAATGCGTTAGACTCATCAAAATGTGCACTAGTGGGGACAGATAAATCCCTAATTTAATCCCTAATTAAATTCTGCAATGCCAAATTGAACTGTTGTTTCATCAGAATCTCAGACTTGATGTTGCTTGATGCTCTCCAGATGTGAGGAATTGCAACCCCAAGCAGGTCTTTGTTGCTGTAAAATGCGTATAAAAGATGCAGTATTAAAAATTATTGGTCAACAACCTTGTTAGATGCAAGAATTAATGAAAGTTTGTTGACTTCTCACTGGCTGGCATAATAAATTCTATGAGTGTTGAAAGTTTTGTTTGTTTCAGATAAGGAACTATTTTGTTTGAAATGATTGAAAACAGTTGGCTTCTTACTTCTTTCAGTTGTGTAGAGCAGCTACTTTTGTTTTCTGTCAAGAGTTTTATGAAACTCAAAGGATGGAAGGAGAAGCTATTGTAAGAATGAAGTCCTCTGATAGGATACTTCTAATGATAACATACATATTCCTGAGAAAAATGCCTGGTTGTCTCTTGAGGGCAACTTGAGGGCATCTTTTTATCTTTATCAGCATGATGCATTTATTTGTTTGCATACTATCTAAATCACTTGTCATGACTATAATCTTCCCAATCTGGGCAATGTTCTTATCAGTCACCTCTACATTGCCAACTTGAAGTGCTCTTAGAAAGTATTAATCACCAAGTAATTAAAAGTTTATTACTGCCTTTTAAAATGAGATGCGTTGGAGAAAATACTGATGAGGATATACTGATTGATCAGATTTCTAGATGTGAAGCAAAAATGCACTTTGTACTCAGTTTACATACACACTGTTGCCTGAATATTCCAAGGCTTAATCCACAGTATTAAATTTTGTTTTCACAATTAGGATCAGGCTCTATTTAATTCATTTTAATTCAACATACATTTAAAAAAAAAACCTGAAAAGGCAGCTTCAGAAATTCCTTGTCTTTCTTAGAGTGTGATTCTGTCTTAAGGATAAACACCTGGGGGCAACAGGTTGAAAGAAGGGGAAAAAAATTGCAGTGGGAAAGCCACATATGGGGATTAAGCATTAAGCTTTCAATAAGTAGGTTTCACTCCTCCCCACCACCAACAAAAACTGGCACTGAGGAATCTTCTGGTTCTCTGCATTGTCTCTGGTGTGACTCAGGTGAAGTATGGGGTCATCAGACTATGAAAGCAAGGTTGGTATCATAGTGTATTCTGAGGAGCTGAGTCACTTTCTCCCAACCTGTAACCCCCTTCAGATGAGTGGACCTCAACTATCAGAATTTCCAACTAGCACGGCCATTGTTGAGCATCTTGGAAGTTGCCCCTTGTATCAGAAGTCTTAGCTAAGAAGGACTTCTGAGAAGACCTGCTTTGGCAAAATTGGATAAAATTTTGAGGATTAAAAAAAAAGGGTAACAAAGTACAATGCCCGGGAATGAAACTAGCAAGGTCGACCTTTTTCTGAACTCAATTCTTTCTTCCTCTACTGCTGGCATGGTTAATGTAGCCCAAAAGCCAGTTACACTCTCACCTGAAAATCTGCTTTGTTGAGAAATACCTTTTTAAAAAAAAAAGCCTTCTGATTGAGGGCTCCTTGGTGTTCCCTGAGCCTGGTTGTTTTCCTGCAAACGTTTTATTACCTGAACTAGGCAACATCATCAGCGCCGAAGACGGTACCTAGTTGATGAAAGGTCTGCAAGAAAAACAACCAGTCTCAGGGAGCACCAGGGACTTCTCATTTCAACCCTGAACTGCACCTATTCTTCATTGGAGCCTTGGGATTAACCCACCGTGTCCTCTTCCCTTTCCCAAATGGAAGGTATCCTGGCTTGCAGCCCTTGGCAGGAAGGGGGAAAGCCCTGATAACCACTTTGCTATTTGCTTTCTCCATGCTGGTGCACCTCCAGGAAAGGCAGCAGGAAGCCTGGCCCTATATCCACTACCTTGAGACTTCCCGGGGTGCCAACTGCTAAGTGGCAAAAGGCGCTCATTGACAGATCATTGCAGAATTTGAATTGAGGTGTGAGCTGGATATATTGTTCTCAGTCCTTTTGAAATGCAACTCTTCCCTGGTAAGAAATGGAGAAATCCGGGTGTGTGGAGAGGGGGGAGGTTTGATGTGTAAGGATAATAAAAGCAAGGTGTTAAAATGCAGCTCCCTCTTTTCCCCAGCTTCTCAAAGTAGAAGCCTCTTTAATGGATTCCCTTAGAAATCCACTTCTTTATTCAGGGCTATTGTATTTCAGTTTGATTAATTGCTCAATCCAGAGCTGGCACTGATGCTAGGCGGAAAAAGGTAACTCCCCAAAGCAGCCGATTTGGAACTTAGTAAGAGATCAACAAGTAGATAGACTGTATTTTTACATGTGTTATTTTTGCACTATTATCCCAAGGAGAAGGAGAATGAGAACAACTTTGGATATTCAGCCTGCACTTTGACTTTGTGTGTGTGTGTGTGTGTGTGTGTATGTGTGTGTGTAGGCAGGACATCTTCAGACAATTGCAACATTTGCTTATATTGTGACTTGTAAATGAGATTAGAGCTGTGGCACAATGGATAAAGTTACAATGCTGAGTGTAGCTATGCAGAAGTAAACTGAAGTAAACACGGAGAGATTCACATTTGATTAGGCAAGTTTGGGACTTAACAAGGGACATTAAATGCATCCTTCCCATAGGGGTAATTTAAATTTAAAAAAAAAGAAAAAAAAGAAAACTCTCCTATGTGTAGAACGTAGATAACACTGAAAAATGACCCTTTTCCATGGTCTATCCTGCCATAAAAACATTCACAAGTGAATGTTATGTGTGTTTATTTGGGAGTAAATTCCATTGGCCTTAGTAAGTGCAACCTAAAAGGTGGAGTGGTAAAAGGGAGGCATTTCCTTAGGGTCTATTAGGGGCTGTAGAGTGATGTTGGACAGAGTTGACACCAGTAGCAGGTGGAGCCAGAGCCAGAAGATGAGCCCACCATATGCTTTTTTTTTT